TAAATTCGTGAATCAGCGAGAGAGCAGAAGGATCCTAAGGGGCAAGAGAGAGACTGTGCGTAACTCTGATCAACATTCTCAACACAAGGGTGAAGGGGGTGATAACGACAGCGTGGAGTGTGAATGGTTTTCATGAATACTGTTCAAAGAAACACACCACACTATACCTAAATAAACACGGTAAACATTATAATAGTGAAGGCATGATAGGATGATACCGGAAACGCGAATAGCCCAGGGCAGAAGGGGAGATATCACAATTGTTTAGCACAAGTTTGGTCAAAGGATCAGCTTCACTTGTCTCTTTGACGAGTTGTTGTGTGGTGCTAAGAATGGCGATACTCACTGACGATGCCGACTACGATGCCGGTTGGGAATGTACCACGTCCACGGTTCAATTTTGGAAATGCTCATGCAGACAATGGACTCCGGACAAGGTGCGTTCCTCGAAGTCTTCCTACCAATATGACCATGTTGCGAAAACAAGGTCAAACAACCTTAATATTTTGATTATTTGATAGGATTATGCGAATAAGAGGGAACAAGTGCTGTTTGGCAAGAGGAGACTGATTTGGGCCCTTACACCTCACGTGACTCAAGAGAATTTCATGCCCACAATACAAGTGAAATTGAACTAAATTGCATGCATCAGCATTGCAGGATAAAAAAATATAAGGGATTTAGAGGAGGATGCTAGTGTTCAGTATCTATTGCTACTTCATACATCATATGCTGTCGCTTCGCATGTCATCCATAGTCACTTCACTTTTCTATAGGTATGTGAGTAAAGCATAGAATAGCCAACAAACTCATGAAATTTCTCAGTAATCGGACAAAGTGTTACTATAAAAAGTAGGCAGGATTTCAGCCAGTTCACTTTTTTACTTCTGTGCTTGGCGAATTAAAGAAAGGGATTATTTTATTCTCCAATGATATCTGTCATATGATAGATGAAAACTCAGCACGGTTTCATCAGGTTTGGGGAACGGTATGCCGAGAACTTATTCTAAAAAGCTATCATAAATGCCTCAAGATAATCCCCCTTCAGCTTCTGGTGGGGCCAAGTTAGGAAATCTTTCTATTTATCTCTTTTAACGGAATGAAAGATGCACCAACATCGAATAGGTTTACTGTCAACTTCTGAAAGTAGCTTCGGATGTTTCAGTACTCAGAAGTGACCTGCAGGCGTGGCTTCTGGCTTATAAAAGTTGCTTCCTTGTCCTTAAACGATGATGTTCTGGCTTATAATACTTCGCACACGAACTCTTATTGGAGAGATTGAGTATAAAATAGACAAAAGGGTTACAACCTGCCTTTTACCTTGAGCCAACTTTCCAAACTGAGGAGGTACGGCTTGAAAGGAACATGGAGATGGTAATCGGGGATTAAATACTATTCATGGTTAGTTGATTTTTCAAAGAATTCAGACAGCACGAGAGACAAGAGGTAATATTGTTGGAGTACCTTTCATTTCGTTTGAAGAGGCGGATGGAAAAGATTCTTAAGTTGGCCTCATCGGAAGCTGTAGGAGGATTATCTTGGAGTTGTGAATGTAGTTTAGTGCGAATAGGTCCTTGACGCATCTTCTTCGACCCCGATGAATACTTGCTGAGCTTTCGTTCGTCATGTGAAGGACATGCCATGATTTACGATAATTCACTAAGCAAAATGATAATAAAGGTTGCCTGCTGCAATTCTACCTATTTTTTCTAGACTAGATAGGTCAACTTGGTGAATCATCGAATGATTTATTTGGATATTCCATGCTGGCCAGACAAGTTAACCATATTCGGTTTTTGAAACTACGTTCCCAGATTTTGTATTATTGATAAAACCGAATATTCATAGTATGACTAAGCAAGTCTTCCTGAGAGAATCTCACGAATTAATTATTTTTAAAATTCAGCAAAATACGTAACAATAATATTATATGATTAGGAGGAAAAACAGATTACGGCAATCACTGTTCGAAGCTCTTAGTTCAGACGACTTCTTTAAGTTGGAATCAATGACAGATCAGTTATATGATAGAGTTTTTCAACAGGATAAGATAACACATAATAAAAAGTTAATGAATTTGGGTATGGGAATTAGAACAGGGAGCTATCTGGGGACAATTAAGGTGGATGTAGAGGAGAGACTTAGAGTAGGAGAGAAAGTGGTAAATCTGTCCAAAACAGTGGAAGTTCCTTCGAAATTTAAACTTTGCTTTGCCAAACAGTAAGGGTAGCAAGGAAGAAGTATTGGTAGAATTCATAAGTTTTTCTGACCGTTTGCCTGAAGAAACTAGGAGTGATATCGAGTTGTAGGTTGCCCCTTTAATTGTTAGCCATGCAGATGTACCGCAAGGGAATAATAGAGTAAGCAGCATCATTAAAATATGAAGAGACCAGGAACAAATAATGTTAAGGACAGACATGGAAAATATTATGTAGGCACTAGATGATAACATAACGTACAAGATTACCAATAAGGACACTACATAGATCCTGAAGTCTAGGCTCAGGGGTTGCCTGCAAGATTCAGTAATAAAGAGGAAATTAAAGAAGTGGAAAATTAACACACTTCTTCAACGAGATGCTAGGCCTCCGAATGCACATGGTCTGCTCAAGATACATAAGGAAGGAATCCTACTTATAATTATTGCTAATAATAAGGGAAGCGTGATGCCTAAAATATCACAATAAATGTCAACAAATAGCACACATTTCTAAGACATGGAATTTTTGCATAAGGGCCTCTTATGAATTCGTTAAGTTAGTCGAAGAACTGAGCATAAAAGGAAGAGAGTTGCTTGTTAGTTTTGATGTAGAATTGATGTACATTCGTGTAAGCTGAGCTACTCAGGGTCTAGAATTAACTTTGGACAGGAATACGGATATTCGGAGAAATACAAATTTAGGTAAGGAGTCAATAATAAGGTTGACGAATTTAGTGATGAGCTCTACATATTTTACTTTCAATAGAAGACTATATGAACAAACACGAGGCCTCGCTTTGGGATCATGTTTGTCCCAAATTTCAGCAAATAATTACAGGGTTCAATTAGAAGCACTTTTAGTTATTTAATTATGGGTTAGGTACATGGATGACCACGTTGCCCTGTGGAAAAATAGCAATGAAAGACTAGGAGAATTTTTAACTTTAATGGGTGGAATCAATGGGAATATCAAGTTCACTATGGAATTAGAAAAGGATGGTAGTTTACCTTTGCTAGATGTCCAAGCTGGCAAAGAGGGGAACAAACTGGGCAAAAATTTGAATAGGAAAGCCACAAATACGGGTTTCTTTTTAAATTTCTTTTCAAGCCATACGTATTGAGTTAAATAGGAGTTTTGAAATCTATGCTAATAAGGGGCCTACATCTTGCAGATGATAAATATCGGGAGCAGGAACTGAGACAAGTGAGAAAAATTTTAAACGTATATACGAAGGCCAAGATGAGGTGGCCTCTATTTTGGTGACAGTCTCCTTTCGATGCATAGTAGTCCTTTGATCTTGTTTTCGCAACTTGATCATATTTGTAAGAAGACCTCGAAGAACGCACGTTATCTGGAGCCCATAGTATGCCAGTACGGCCAATATTAATAAAATGGAATATTCAGGTGACTACGAAGGGAAAGAAAACACTCTCCACAAGTCTACCCAGGAAACATGAAATAATAAGCAATTTGGATTGCTCGGTAGTTTACGGCATAGCATACGGCGCCTGTGAACATAAATCTATTGGCGAAACTGGGAGAAAAATCAGCATACGAATCAAGGGGCATCCAAGGCTCTGCAGGAAAATAGATACTGAAAGATCAGATATAGCGGAACACATCGCAGAGATTGGACACGAGATCACTTGGAAGGCCTAATACGATGTAGGCACAAAAAACGGAAGATTAGGAAGGCCATTGACATTCTCGGGGGAAAAAAATTAATGAACAGGAGATTGGATGAAGGCAGAATTAGGGATAACTTTGCCTATTGCCTGATTAAACTCAGAGAAAACAGGGATGCATTAAGACAACCATAAAGGAGACACATGTATCAAGGATCTATCATAAACCAGAGGAAAAGTGATCGCAAGGAAGAAGAGGGCGGGGAAGTTTAGGAAATAAAGCGAAGCCGTTCTCAGTGAGTGCAGTCAGCTCAAATAAAAAACTAAAACTTTGGGGGCCTGACGCTTCACGTGAATGGGGAGAGCGATTGGATCACAGAAATTGGCCATTATGGCCGAACTAAGTTGAGATACAATAGGCGACCAGAGATAGCTATCCACAGTTTGCTATCCAAGGATATGACGCATGAAGACAATGCCTAATATCCTAACCTATCTAATGCCAAACACTTAGCTGGATTAGAGACTATACCAGTAAGTGAAAGATTAGGGAATATATAGAAATCAACAAAATAGACAACACCCTGAATGGGAGGAAATTTAGGGGAAACCACTTGTGGCTGTTGGGTAGGATTAAAGAAAGAGAAAGAGAGGTAACAAGAAGTACCGCATCAAATCTTACGAGCTTTCTAGCACACTATACAAGTACAATAGACCGAAATAACATGCGGCAACAAACAGGATTTAAAAAATGTGTGTTTTAAGGTGGGATGCAGCCGTTCGGCCATA